CGTAGCCTGTTAAAATAAGCTTTTGGTAGTGAAAAGGTTAACTAATTTGGTTTCCCTGATAAGTTTATCTATGATCAGAACTGAGTCATACAGAAAATACTCCTACAAGATTTGACCTTTTACTTGTATCCCACACTGAGATAATATACTTAAAATGGATATCAATAAGAACTTTGTTTTAAAAAGCATATTTAAAATAAATTACTTTTAAATAACAGAAACTGTTTTCAATTAGCCCTGTTAAAGGAAATCAACTAGAAAGTTATGTATGCTTTTTTATTTTCTTTATATAAATTATACCCAGGAGTCCTATGATAGCAGCACTGTACAAACTATGCACTACCTTTATATTTATTTCTTATCAAAATAAACTTAACAAATTAGATTTGTTTTTACAGCACTTTATATCCAATAATGACAATGTTGTATTGGTCCCAGGATAAAAACAATGAAAGTAGCAGCCGAATGGTATTTTTATTAAGAGTTAACAAAAATGTCTTGTGCAAACAGAGTATATAAAGAAAATTAATTCCATAATTCCTCATGATGAAGGCATTCTTCTCTTTTTTCTTTTTTTCTCACAATATCAATCTCATTTGGAAAGACCGTTTTGAGGGGAAAACTTTAAGTTTTAGCATGACTTACTCAGCAAAATGATATGGCTGAACTTAAACATTGCTGACTGCTAGGATTTAATATTAGGACCTGGCAAATGTTTTGATAACTTAATACTTTTTAAAAGAAAACTTGTTTGTTTCTGAAAATTTTGGGAGCCCAGAAAAAACATAATCTAAAAAAAAATAACAGATAGGAAGATCCAAAGAGATGTTCTTTCTTTTTCCCATTTTTTTTCCATTTCCTCTACCTTAAACTGGTTTCTCCATGCTAGCATTTTAGAAGCCTTTTAACTGGTGGTAGATTCAGATATATCCAAGATATTTACCATACAGCTCAGCAAGAGTCCACATTTTCCTCCAGCAGTGGAAAAATGGCAGGGCTAATAGTCTGGGGTTTGTTACTAAAAATGAGTCCTTATACCAAAAAAAAAAAAATAGAACATTACTTAGAACATGTGGTTTGCTGCTATTAATTTAACAGTGGGAAATCTCATTACTTTTAATTTTATTTTGTGGTGGGATTGTTGTTTAGACTGAAGCAGATTTTGTCTTGAACAGAGCCTCTAATCCTACCTTACGGTCTTCTGTTCAGCAAGTCACTCTCTGCATAGCTTGGCTAGATGCATGTTTAAAGTCAAGTGATGAATTAAAAGGTAAAAAGGAAGAAAAATAACCTTTCCCCACATGTGCCCCTGGGGCTGCTAGCAGGCACTCATGTGCTATCTTCTCCAGCTCTTGCTCTAACTGCAGGAGTTGTCCAATAAAGGTCTTGGTTTAAAGATGCTCTTTTAGCAGTGCTAACTATGTTTCTGCTTCTAATGCAAGATTCAAGTGCTCTGCCGGGACAAATTAGAGGTTGGGCAAATTCTAACACCAGCTCCATGCAGGAAACACCGTGGAGAAGCAGAGGTGTACAAAAAGTGTAAAGTGGTCTGATGGCCCAAGGGCTCTGAAAATCAAAGGGGTGAAACAGAGAAGAAAGTAGTAGCTTGTAAAGATTTCTATCCAGTTTGTTTTCAAATTTTGGAAGCAACTAAGCTGACTTCTGAATTTTGATTGAGGCTATAATGATTTACAGTAACAGAGAATGAAATCTGGAATTTGAGGGGAAAATGACCCCAAAAGTGAAGCCTTGTTTAAAGCCTGAATGCTATATATGCATACATATATATATGTATATATTCCTACTTAAAAGTTATGATGACTCATATCTAAACTCTCCTGGTTTAAAATACCAAGTGAGATTCAGTCACGTAATATTTGTGTTCCACCAACAGTCCAATGTTTTTTTGTTTTTGTTTTTTTTTTTTTTTTTTGTAATATGTGATCATACTATAAAAAGTTCACTCTTGTGCAAAAGTGAGCTATTATATTGTAAATTCCACTCACATTAAATCTTGTGTAGCTCAAGTCTGTGAACTATATTTCAATACACCCTTAAAATTTTGTACTCAGCCTTTTCTATACCGGCTCACCAGGAAATTTTGACACATGAATAACCAAAATACATGCACATAAGATCACTGATTTTTATTTTCCTGAGCATCACTCCAGTTCTTCTCAACTAAGTTCCCGACGCGTGAGAGTTACATCTAGAAGCCTCCTACCTTAGCCCCACTGCTGCTGAGGTCTTGTTTCTCCATCAGTGATAATTTAGAAAACTCAGATCAGTCCCTCAGTATTTTTGGGGAGAGAAAATGGACCAGCTGCCCAGCAAACAAAGGAGTTCTGACCTGTCTGAACTCATAAGTACTCAGCAATGCTCTGTTGAAAGTGTCTGTGTCTCTCACAGTTTAACCCCAGATGGCAATCAAGTACCACACAGCCACTTGCTCACTTCCCCACCTGCACTGATGGGAATTAGAAGAAAAAGTAAACCTCTTGTGTTGAGATGAGCAATGATTGAAACAAAAGAAAATATTAAGATAATAACAATTGCAATGAAAATACATTGAGGATCTAGGGGGTGTGCAAATAAAACGCAACAGAAACAAGTGATGCTCAATATATTTGTTCACCACACACTGCTCAGCCCACCCCCAAGAACTGATAGCAGCTCCTGACCAAACTGCAGCAGTTTTATATCCTGGGCATGACATTCTGTGGTATGGAATATACCTTTGGCTACTTCAGATCAACAGTCCTGGACATGCTCCCTCGAGATTCTTGTGCACTTGCTCACTGGCAGAGCATGACACAGTGAAAGTCCTTCAGAGTAAGCACTACTTAGCAACAACTAAAACATCACTATGTTATCAACATAATTCTCATACTGAATCCAAAACAGAGCACTGCACCAACCAGCTGAAACCACTTCAATATCAGTGCAGCATCAGTTTGTTGTGCTTCACTAAAACTTTACAAAAGCCGATAACAGAGCAGAGGAATGCTCACTGCCCCACTGTGAATAAAAGCAGACCCCTTGAGATGAGGAGTATGATCTTCACAAGGGCATGAGTTCCTGCAGCTCCTATACAAGTTAGGAAGAGCAGCAGGTGTTCAGTACCCCTGAAATACCAGGTTTCTAACTTAAAGCACATGAATGCTTGCATGACCTCCAAGTGGTGAAGTGTCTACTCTCATTTTAGGACTAGGAGCCATTTAGAGCATTGATAAAGATTTGGGAAATGAGTTCTCAGTGCTGGATACAACTGTGAAAAACAGGCTGAATTTAGGTCTTACCACAAATTTCGTGTTCTACAGACGAACAAAAGCTCAATGCAACTAGCCTAGAACTGAGAAAATTTCATCTCCTGGCAGATGTCAAAGGTATAAGCCAAGACAGAGAATGAGAGCAAGACCTTGTTCGAACAGAAGGTGAAGCTTTAAAGCTGTACTGTTTATCTGTGCCATGGGGTTGTGAAACCAACTCATTTTTGACATCTCTCATATGTGCAATTGAAAAGTGAACTTGCAGAAAGGGGTTATTTCAAGAGCTGAGTGAAACTAGCTTGCTCAGTTTGCAGAGTTTATGTGTTAACTTTCTTGTATTTTCCTTCATACAGTTCTATACTCCAGGAGTTTTGTTTTGAGTTTTAGCTTCAAACAAAGCAAAAGTGATTGTAAACCACTATATTTTGACTTTTCATGTTGAAACTGTATCTCACATAGAAAATTTCAAAACTGACTAGCTGAGGGTCAGAGACAAGATCTCCCTATATGCATGATGCTGATACCTGGCTTTTCTGTGCAGTTCCATTCTGTATGAAACTACCCAAACCCATCCAATTTTATGTCATTTTCTTCCAGGAATAATAGAAGAAGCTTATAGGCAGAGTTGTCAGATTGAATTAACATTAAGTAGTGGCAAATTAGTAACTTATTATTATTATTAGATTTTTTTTTCTAGCTAGGTCCAGTAAGATTATAATAAAGGCTTTCTCAAACAGAAATCCAGACATACAGATAGCACTATTTTCTGCTAAATGAATGATACTTTTTAACCTGTATCTTATCAGATATGATTTGCCAGAAACAGTATGGCAGTGTCCAGAAACATCTTCATGAACAGAAGCTTTCCTTTATTTTCCACATTCATGTTCTTAGCAGCCCTTCAGCCCAACTATTAACACATTGGAATATTTAAATGGACAAAGAAAATAATTTCTGTCCATTTTCCAACAGCACTTATTATCATATTTCCATTATCATCATTTAACTTTCCACTATATTAATAACTAAGATAAATTTTACCTAGCAAGAAGCAATCTAAACCCTCTAACTTGACAAAAATATCCTGTGCTTATTTCTCTTTCTAGCCATCAAAGAAAGTCACTACAACAACCCTGGGTATCAGCATTTTTCCTGTGTGATTCACTTACACCAAGCAAACCCTCTAGACCTACAGTTTTCCTTTTTTTAATTTCTGCTTAACCAGTATGATCAAGAGGTCCCCTTCTCTGTGGGTGGTGATAATGTCAGTATACCACCACCCAAATAACCTTTCTCTATAGGGAGATGCTAACATTTAACTCCTTAAATTTAAAACACATGTGGTTTGGTCTCATAACTGCACTCTGTATTAACTGACTTTTGTTATTAATTTGTATCACTAAAAACCTTAATGAAACCAGTTATTGGAACTGTTAAGTGCAGTAGACATCTAAAATTTGTGTATGAGCTAAGATATTTAAATGCTGACTAAATATTTTCCCCAGCCATTGTAAACACATTTTCAGAATTGCTGATGACACCACTCTGCTCATGTTCTGTGTAAAGCTGTGTCTCAGAAGAGTTGTTCTTTCCAGCCCAGTCCATGGAACAGAAGAAAATGGTTTCTATCTCTTACCTTCACCTTATCCAGAAATATAAAGTGTCATTCAAGTGCTGCCTACATGAGACCGCCACCAAGAAGAGCTAATTCTGTGTGCTTTGGTTACTTACAGTTTCCCTCCTGGTATTTCCTGGGAGAGGCACTGCTGCTGCACAGGGTCTTTGCATGCATTGCCATCAGGTGACCACAAATATACAGCTGCCAGTGTAGAAAAAATAGTGGCATTTGGGAAAAATACTCAGGGACTTCTTGTTCAAACAACACAAACCACAGATTCAACGGTTTCCCCAAACTAAATTGTTCCTTAGTAAAATTTAACACAACTGCAAATGTTAAAATGTTAATATATGGATTAGCTCTAAAACTGCAATTATATTAAAAACTATTGGGGGAAGAGGTGGAAAGACTGTATAACATCCTAAAGTGTTTTCTGTAACCTCTAGAAATGAAACAGTTTATTTAATACTTACACATATGATTTTGGTAGTATTTACATAATTATATAATTATATACATTGTTTTAATTATACACTTCATGTTTTATCATATGGATGTGTTACTTAATACATATAAAAATGTAAAAAAAATTATCTTTAGAACAACATTTTTTAAAACAGATACCAACTCCCAGGTACAAATTAGCACTGCCTTTTTTTTCTTTAATCTGAATTCTGTAGCAAGACATAAACTGTATGTTTCACTGCTCAGAATACCGTCCAGTCTCCTGAAGTAATATTAATAAAAGGAATGTATTTTCCCAGTCTATCTGGGGAAGGGTGCAGGGGCTTGCAAATTATATTTTTAACCAACAGTCATCTGAGATAGTTCCATCATATGAAGACATTCTGTGGGCCTGGTCACAAATTTCAGAGTGCTTAGGTTGTAGTTCTCCAGCACTTTCCATAATGTGAATTCTTCCCCATTTCACAATCTTTCATGTAATTCCCAGTCCATAAACTCCTATCACATGTCCTGATATTTGGTAAAAGCTTTAAAAATGCCATTATACCCCCCTTACAAGACAAACGATTCCTCATACTCTCTGTAGGAGTTTTCTTCCACCTTCCTTCAAGCTCCGATTCCCAGTGATCAGAGATGCATGACACCAAGGGTATCTGTTTCTTATTTCAAACAACCATTGCAGCCATGCCTTGGGAGTCCATCCTGAAAAAGACTGATAAATACTTAAAAAAAAAAAAATACTTAAAAAAAAAAAAAAGAGTATATAGAAACAGTTCTCTCTTTCACACCCAAACTATAAAATTAATATTATACATCACTAACTCAGATGTTATGATTGCTCTGTCCATCATTACCTTTTCTGCAACAATTTCATTTCTTTAACTTCTACAAAAGTAGTCCAAACTCCTATCAATCATAATGCTAGTGAGTGATTTTAAAAAGTTCACAGGAAAGTGTTCTCTGTCTACGCAATCCTAATTAATGCCTGTAGTGGATTTTATCCAGAATTCACTACTTTCCATTAGTTTTAATTTTATTTTAGGATGAGTTATGTATTTTATACATATACAGTATATAATTTTTATGTATTATATGTAACAAATTGCTCTTGTTATAAAATAACAATTCAGAAATGCTCAACCCCACATTGTGCAATTTATATATAACTATACTGATTAGTATAGTCAAGATTTTTAACTTCCCTCTTATTCAGCAGACCATGAAAACTGGACCTGGTTAATATAAGTTTCTAATTGTGTATGTAATTAATGCATTCTTTAATTTCATTTATTTAATTAAAAGGGGATTTTTTTTTTTTTAATTAAAGAAGTATTTCTTGTGTCTATCCAAGTGTCTTGCTACCTGAAATTACCACTTTCTTCAGGAAAATTAGTTTGCTTCATCATGCCCAAAACTGGAAATTAGGCTTCCTTTAGCTAGACTCCCAGGAGTTTAGAACCTCCAACCACTACGGTCCTGAGGAGAAGCCCCAGGCTCCTGGCCAGGACCTCCGTGGTGCATTTGCTCAACAAGAGCCACTCCCAACTCATACACAGGTTCAGTTCAGCCACTGGAAATTCAAAACAGACCCTTGACAGCATCCCATTGAATACAGAGACTCTGTCCTTGTTAGATATGAAAGAACTCTCCTGCCTCTATGCCTTGTCAACCTGAAATAAAACACCTTAGAGGGAATTACCTTCCCAGATGTGATATCTTTAATTTTCTTAAGCATTTGCAGAAGCATATTACCATTTACAGCAGTTTTTTAAAGGGAAAATTCAGCTTCCTGAAAGAAGGTGCCTAATGACTGCTGGGGTACCCTGAAGTACCCAGGATATATGTGCAGGGCTGGCATGTTGTGGGACCTACAGGAAATTTTTGACCTTTGACAAAATCCCACACCTTTGAACTGGCAGTGAGAGGCCAGATGGGATTCTTACAGGCTCTAAAAGGCACAGACTTATGTTTAGGCACATCAGTTTTTTATAAAACTAATAAAATAAACCACTAAAATCAAAAACCAAAAGAGACTAAACATAATTTTATATGATTTCATTTAATTAAAAACCTGTGAAAAAATAGTAAAACCTTTAAAGAAATAACTTTGTCTAAATCTCATCATTTACTATACTAAATCCTGCTGGAAATTATCATGGCTTATTATCTTGATCTATAAAGGCCATAATGAACTAGTAATATTTGCAATACTTATACTTTCTGACTTCAGATTTTAGAATACCACTACATTTTCAAAGTTAAATACTTTAAAAGTCAGAAAACATTAATAGGCTTTGTGCAAACCCAAGAATACAGCTTTTAGCTATTTTGGAGGGAAGTTTTTAATTCTATGTTTACATACTATTTTTTTTAACTCAGCAACTGAGTGCTTGGCACTGTTCGCAAGAAAAGTGTTGTTACGTTTCTAATTAAATAACATCTTGGAAAAGACATGGCTGCCAACAGGACAACTATTTCACATCCCTTTGTTGCAAATAAAAATTTTAAAAGTGTAAAATCAATTCCCATTTTAATGTGCTCCTTGCAGCCAAGCCTTGGAACTTGCTTTCATGTTTTCCCTCAAGCAAATTCCCCTTTGATTCCAGGAAGAGTTTTGGCACACCATTGTATCACAGTAGCACACAGTCCTTTGTAGTCCTTCTAGAAATGGCTGAGAAACAAAACCTGGCTGGACTAGTCAAAAGGAAGACGATTGTGATGAAGTTACAAGGAAGAAATTAGACACAGCGCTAAGATGTAGCAGGTGAAGTATTTCTAGAGGGGTGTGGAAGCTCTTGCGTTAATGTTGCATGCAAGGCAGCAAGGAAGGGAGCACACTTCTGTGTGCTTTTGTTAAAAGCAGAACAGTTTAACTTAAAGTAATGCCAGAGGATTGGAAACCTAAGCTTCTGGAAGAAAACAAATGCAAATTGGGTTTGTTCAGGCTAGGATGCTCAGGCACAAATCTCTCAGCTACATGCCAATACAAATAGTAGGGGGAAAGCTTTAATAAAAAGGACAATAGAGATACAAGGGATCTGGATAAATGCAAAAGACAGAAGGACAGAAAAATATTTATAATCATCAGAGCTGTGATGGGTTGGAACAAACTTCAAGTAGCATATAGAGTGGTCAAGGCAGCTCCTGCATGGATTTCAGAGTAAGTCTGGTTTTAACAGCCAAAGATTAGACTTGATAGACCAGGAGCCCTCAACAATGAACCAGCAGGGTCTTGGTTCTTTACAGCTCTGCCACAGTTTTCTCACTGTGATCATGAGACATCAAAAACAGTCTCTGCATATTAAAGAAGGTTGCAGTTAATACCTAGATGAACACTTAAAGGAAAACATAAGCACTATAAGAGATACTAAAATTATTATGAGATTATTTTCTGCTTGAGGCTTATTTATGGCGTAGAAAGTTAAATACTACTTTCAGTTATTTCAGACTAAATTCCAAACATTTCTGCTTTCAGTTGCTTCAATGAGATTACTTCAAATTTACCTTGAAGTAAATGAGATCTGAATTCAGCACCTTAATTCTTTGTTTCTTGTGGGAAGGTTGATGAATATTGCTGATTTCATAGTCATGGAGGGGGCCAGTGAGTAAGCAGTGGTAAACACATCACAAAAAACAGTAAAAAGCAGAGGACAGCTTTAAGTAGACATTGGTTTGCCTTACCAATTGTCTGCCCTTTGTTATTTATTGAGATTACACACTGCACAAAGATTATTAAAAATTGTAGACCAGCCAGCTTTCTCTTGATTTTAATTTGGAGTAAAGTATCCTTCAAAGCTATATTTTAAGCAAACTTTTTTTCTTCTTCTTTGTCACAGCCAAATTCTCCAGTTCAGGATTTTACAATATTTTCCTTTTTCCAGAATGACACCTGCTGGTGGGAGAAGCATGGATGAATCGCAGATATTTTAGAGGTTTGATTGTTGCTAACCAGACATATTCTCTGAGCATGCTCATCACCCACGTTCAGGCCAACTGCAGAAAATAAAGATTTGGAAACTGTAAAGGTGCTTTAAGGAGGTTTTTAGAGAAGTAAAGTAGTTTTCCATTATGATATAATATTTGCTCTTAATAAACTACAAAGCTACCTACTACTAAGACAGTGCTTCCATGCTTCCTAGTGTCCACAGTGCTGGACACTAGCCCTGTTTTGGAAAGCCCAAAGCATCATCCTGTCAGGTAACAGCCAGAAGGAAATCCTCCCTACCCAATGCAAAAAGCTTCTGGTCTGCTTCAAACTCTCAACTGCAAGTAAAACCAGCTGCTAATGAAACTATTTGTGCTTACCATCCCAAAATATTAGATCTCAAAGACAAGTATTGTGCACATGTTCCTGACTCAGTATGGGAGGACAGAAGTACAAGAGACAGCAATGTGTACTTTTGCCAAAACTGTGAAAGATACTGCTCAAGGCACCAGGCAGTGTTAGGCTTCCATATTCACAGCTCCTCTGCTGCTGGGTTTCTTGCCACAGCCTCTCCTACAGCTAAACCAGAGTCAGAACTGAGCTTTTGACAGTTCCAACACATTTACAGCAATATTTCTAAAAGTGATTTCCAATGTTAAGAATAAATAACTATTTCCTTTTTCTGAGCTGCAAACCAACTACTGTCTTTTGTAAAGACAAACTGAAGTGTAAGGACCCTGAAGAAAACTCTGGGTCAGACTCTAAAATGTATGTTTTAAACACAACTTATGAATAAATTGTTGTGGGGAAAAAAAACAGTTATAAAGAAAACTGCTATATATTAAATTCAGGATTAGAATTCAAAGAAATCTTTCAAAGTATTTACAACACCATAGGCAAATATACACATTCAAATGTGTTCCCCTTGGATAAATACCTAGATGTTGTTATTGCACACCTCATTGCAACATCAGAAAGCAAACTTTCTTTTGATTTCACCGGCTTGTTAATGGCATTAGATGGCAATTTAGGAGACTTGGCTTCTACACCTGGATTTATCACTGGCCTCTTTTATGGCTTTGAACAGGTAACTTCACAGCTCTGTTCCTTCAATTCTCCCATTTGTGAAAAAAAAAAAAAAAAGCACTATTCTGCACTATTCTGATGGTTAAAAGATTGATTTCCAGAAATTGATCTTATTTTGGTAAATGCAAATACATGAAAAGGGGGCACCTTTCTACAAACTCACTCATAAATATAAGACACACAATACTTCAAAAGATAGTTTAGATCTGGAGAGTTTTTTAATATATTTTTTGCAAAGTTGATCAGAGTTTCAGTCCTACCCATGGTTGTACATACTTCTGCTTCTAAAGTCCTTGTTTGTCACACATATAACAAAGATTATCAAAATCTGGAAACATGGTTACTGCAGTTTATCATTCTTAACCTCATTAACAAAACAGTAGCTTCACAAAGAACCCAGCTGCATCTCAATGCTTTCAGAATAGTCCAGGGTAAGCACTTTGCTGCAAACAGTAGCAGGATGGAAACAGAGAGACTGATCTAACACCAAATCTGTGGACATCTGCACAAGGTTTGAGCTAGCTGAAAAGCAAAGAGGAAATAGCAGAAGAAAATGCTTGTATAAATATGTTCCTACTTCTTAGAGCTAGTGCTGAGGAGGTTTAGAGAGCAAGGTTTTCTAGCTACTTCCACTTAGCACAGGGAGTGTCTCTTTGAGCACATCATTATCAATGACTGACCATGACCATCTCCATTCTGTGCTAGAATCCAGCAAAAAGACACTTCCAATCCCAGGATTGGAAATTTTTGTGTTGGATTAAAGGTCAGTTTGAGTTTCAGCTCAGGTTGCTGCTCACCCTTAAGCAGTCATTCCAGTTTTTATGGCCATACATGGGGAATGAAATGCCTGCACAGGATACAAATAGCTTGGGATTCAAATAAACCTCTGCACAAGGATAAGAACTCTGAATTTGGCCACATTTTTCTCCTCTCTACTCTCTACCTATCAAACTCACATTGCATGGAACAAACTTGGGAATACCTTCATATCTCATTCTCCTTATTTCACCTAGGACACTCTTAACTTCAACACTTTAACTCTTGCACTCTGAGATGCTGTGTGAGATGTGCGTGATTGCTATAGACCCCTCCAACTTCTTATTCAGCAGCTATTGGGAAACTGGTTTGGACCAGAGCACTGCAGCTGCAATGTTTTTAAGCATTCATCACTCCTGGCAATATGTTTCCAGCATTATTTCCCATAGAAGTCTTTCCATCCCTTCCCCCACCCAGCAGCATATGCCCCTTGATGAGTCACGGCTTATCCAAACTCCCTTAGCTGCTAAACCACACAATGACCAAGAAGCTCTTCCTCAAAGGCATCCTGGCTCCAGCTGATCGCCTCAGGGACAGCCACAGGCTCTGCAGAAGTGACCTCTAACATCAAAGTTAAACATTATTTCAAATTGATACACACAGAACAAGACATAACCACATATGATACCATGGCTTCATTTTCTCACTACTTTTGCACGTGTAACTTTTCTTGTGCCTGATGGACACAATTTTCTTCCCCCTGTAACCAGTGTCCTCCAACTTTAGTTGGTTCTGTACTTCTAAGAGTACTTTCTTCCCTTCAAAAAATATGTCCTTACCTTCCTCTCTTTTGTCTCAAGCTTTCTTTACTTGTCTTACCCACGTAACTTCTATATTTGTATAGATCTTTATCAGCATGCACTTTTTCATTTGCTCAGAGAAAATTGTCTCCTTCCAACCATAGTCCTTTGCAGCCAAGTCAGAGGGAGCTGTTTATCTGTACAGTGCAGTAACTTCTTTGGGCTGCACAGACAGACATGGTGCGGCCACTTCTCAGCAATCAGGTATTTGTTCCACGAGGATGAATACCAGTAACATACAAGTTTTGGGAATGTCACTCTATATTTGCCTGAAGAGGTCTGGAAGACCCAGTTTTACAACTGGGGAAGTGAGTCTATTTCTTCAGTGTACTAAAGGCTGGTGAGCACTGGGAGTCTCCAGCGTGCAAGGGTCTGTAGTGTGCACTGGGAAGTGAAATACTGTGTAGGGAACCAGAGCTCCCAGAAACCTGAACCAACTCATCTGTCTGCACGTCTGTTTGTGGGTCAGATCTGATTGCAGGCACAAGTATGTGCTACCCTCACCACTCCTGAGGAAAGCCCACTGTGTTTTTTCCTGGAGAGAGTCTCCCTGTCCAGACCACAGGGCAGCAGAGGAGGTGTACACCACTCCTTCCCTTTGAGAATTGTTAGTGCTGTATGGGAGTTTGACTGCCAAAAGTGATACAGATCCAGCATCTCAACAGCTCCCTGTGCAGTGGAAGTTTAAAAGTTCCTGAGTGTTACATATTTTTTGTATTTCTGCTTTTTTGCATTGTCTTTTTTTCCTTTCCACACCCTTTCCCCTTCTCAGAGTTGTTTGTCATTTTACAATCCTAACCTGAACACCAGAACGACACTTACAGTTCTCAATCTAAAGACAAATGCCTTCAGCCAAAATGTCATATATTTTAAACTCTGGTAAGAGCAAAGCAAGAGAGAATCCACATTGTGAGTACCTTCTGCAGCTGTACAAGACTGCTAAACACTGCAGACTGCACAGGATATAATGTCAATCCATGGGGGAAAAAAGATTAATTACCTGACCCAAACCAGCAGATAAGCTCAGTCAGAGAATTGCTACTTCCTGCTTTTCTCCACCTTACATTTCCCCTACTTCCGTATTTGTCTCCTTCTTCTCAGAGATATATTTTATGGGGATATATCAAATATGTTCCTGTACCACAGAAACTTTTTACTGAGATCCAGAAAGGTTAGCTTTTACAAGATGTCACTTTTCCAGTAAATCAAAGTACCAGATTTGCATACCTTGTACAAAGTAGGGGCTTTTTTAAAATTAATTTTCCCCCTCCTACCCCACATTTACTATATAGAAATTTCTTTCCTTCAATATCTCTTTTAAAGCTTTGCATCCCTGAGGTCAGAATAATAGTCCAATCTTCACACCAGTCTTTCCTCCCTTCATACACAGAGGAACTGGCTTGCCACCTGGTCCTTTTCCTCTTCATGAGACATTCACACATATGGTTTCACATACCTGTTCTATATGAATTTTGAAAAACAGTTATCCCACTACCCTGACTGGAGCTCATGAACTGTCCTAAGCTTTGTTCCCTCTTTATAAATGGGTTATCTGCCATTTCCACACCCTCAGAAAGCCTCCAGGCTTTGCCCTGTTGCTAGATCATCATTAGTTTATCCCACACATACTATAGTTCCTCTTCACAGCACAAAAGTCTTTCACTTTCCCTTTCCCACAGTTTTTCTAGACAAGAACTTTTTTCTCAAATGCTGCCTGAATATTTTTCTCAAGCTCCTCTCATTCATTTTTTACTTTATTCCTGCATATCCTGCCTCTGAGATACAACTTTCTATTCTGACCCCTCTTTATCCGCTGTCCTTGCATTACCTACTAACATATTTTCTGTGATGATTACCCATCAAATTAGACAAGGTGCTTTTACCAACTGTCTTTTGTTTGGAGTATAAGTTCTAGGTAGCTTTCATGTCTGAAACTTTAAAAACTTTACACCTCCTCCACATTTCAACCCTGAGGCTCCTCAATCTGGCAGACTTAAGTAATTAAATCATATAGTTTATGAAAATTTTCCTCTTCAAAATCAGGAGCCTTAATTACAGTCTTGTTTCTATGTAGTCTTATATTTAGTGTAAACACAGTAGACCTGTGAACACTTAAAAATTTATTTTATTTTTATTCTTCCATAGAAGCCACAGTAATCCCCAAAACTAAGGTAAAACAGGATTGGCTGAGAGGTAATTTGAAGAAGTATTTCATCAGCTGTGTTCATAGGTTCCTTAAGAAATAGATCCCTACTTCTGTACACCTTCCCCAACCTCCGTCTAGCAAGTTTAAGTCTCACTTAGACACATAATTTCCAGTTGTCATTTATTTCTCTAAATATACTACGGAGATCTTGGTCCATGTCTAGACTATAAAGATGAACTAAGGGCCACAGCAGCCATCTGGAATGGCTCTCTTTTACTAACTTTTACCAAAGTAGTTTGGACACATACAAATTTTGTCTTAGGCCAGCAATAAATGCTAATAATCTTTATTATTTTTCCCTGAGGAAGAATTTATGACACACTGGCTTTTTTGAGAAAGACAGTATACAGTATTTCCAGGTCATTCCCTAAGTAATTGCATCACTGGGCAGCAAAACCCCAAGGCTGCTGGACTCCTGGCTGCCCTCACACTGGGATACCTCAAAAAAAGCAGTCTCCATGAAGCCTTGGGGAAGGATAACCAGAAGGGGCAGCAGCCTGAGGACCCAGTAGGCTTGAGAGGGCAGACCACAAAGGTCTGATCTGCCACCAGTCTGGCAAGGGAGGAAGCCAGAGGGCTGCTAGCCCACTGCATGGACAAGGTGGGAGGGGGCTATGCTGGGGTAGGGGAGACTTGGGGTCTGGAGGGAAGAGGTGACTTTATCCATTTCATTATGAATTACCATGTCATCAGCCTGCTCAGCCCAGCCAAGAGCCCAGGGCTCGCTGCGGGGAGCAGCAGGGGCCAGGCAGCAGCCCCTCAACTCAGCTCTCTCTGAGGCTTCAATGGAGCTGATGCACCCCAGGAGCAGCATTTCCACCCTGCGCAAGTGGCATTTTACAACTGAGCATGGCCCCAGCCAAACACTTGCGGCAACTAAAGTCTTATCTGCAGCTCTACCAACTCCAGTTACCAACAAAATATCTACATCTTTCACAAGTATCAAAAGTGTGAAGCAAGACCGGTATTTAAGCCACCAAATGAGTAATGTCTGAAGCAAACTCAGAAAGAAGCTTGTGGGAATTGTTGTCTAGCATTATTAACTACTACAAATTACTTACCATATCTAGCCAGTTCAGACTGCTGTGTTTGTTGCATTTACATGAAAAAAGCTGAATTCTGTGAATCTTTTTTTTGTTATGGGGTACTGTCACTCACTTTCACTAACACAATAATAATGCCTGGAATTACAATAGCGTGGTGGAAACTTTCTACTACACTACACTAAGTGAACCTTAAGGGAAAACACGTACATTTGTGCTACAGATATTACATGTATTTCCACAAACCTTGTCAAAATGGATCACATGAGAAAAACAAAACAATTACGAAGAAAACTGCTTCATCAACTTCTTCCATTACTCACACCATAGGGCAGATGTAAGATCAAAACCAAAAGTGCAGTTTTCAAAAGCCTGTTGAAAATTTGAACATTTGGCTAGATTTCTTACCTTGCCACCTCCATGAACCCCGGAGAAAATGAGTAGTCTGCGATCTTTCGAGAAGGAAAACACAACCTAAAATATCAACATGGTTCAGGATTAGGTCCAAACACTGAACCATTTAATTCAAGAACAAACCACATTGTACTTTGCAAATGCATCTGCAAACAGAATTAGGATATGACGAAACAAAAAATTCTCCCTGTGGTTTTGTGTATATCATCCTTGCCACTTTCATAATTAGAGGGCATAGGCTACCATTAAAGTCAATTGCAAAGTTCCCATTGACTTCAGTAGATGTAAACCAGGCTTTAATATTATGCTTTTCAGTTTTCTTGAAGTTTAAACACCTCATAAAATAAATTTACAGATGAACTAGTAAATGTACACTTACAAAGAAACCTCCTGAGGAGTCCCTGAAGCCATATTTTTAAATGCTGCTATTCATTCTGGTTATATCAGACAGATTAAGCAACTGTCAAACATAGCTCAAGAACAGCAATAAGAAAAATAAGAAATTTTTTAAATATCATTTGATACATTTGACAAAACAGAGTTAGAAGAGGGCTTTATATTATGCTACATATTTCACAAGTTCAGAAAACCCTATCTATTTATCTGCCTATCCATTTCAGTGATCTGTAAATGAAAACATGTACCATATATACAGCAAGTTCTAAGAACCATCAAAAAAAAAACCCACTCACATAAAAATGCAAGAAAGGCTAATTGAAAAAGAGAGAAAAACTGTGGGAGTGGAGAGAGTCTAACCGATGTGAAGTCAGAAATACTACCATCTGGAGCTGACATTTTCTACTATAGAGCTATGTGCCCATTGGGCATAATTTTTGGTCTTGCAGTCTTTCCACAAGTAAGACTCCAATTGACTACAGTGCAAATGAATGAACTGCAGGATTTAATTAATCCTGCTGAGGTTTGAAAAACAATCTCATATGCTGCCTGAATATTTCAGTCAATTTCAGAGATTTTCAAGATAGTTTGCCCAATTCATTGATAAATATTTATTTATAAATATTTATAAGTAAAAAGTAGAAATAGAAATAGAAGGTGAACATTAGATTATAAACAGATATAAGGAAGTAATGATTACCTAACCTGACATGATGAAGGCTTTATTAGATGGAACATCATAAATGGCATTACCAAAGAAAGAGCTGTGATTGCTGGATGACATTTGCACAGTCATCTTGGTCCAGATGCTACTGGAACAAGCAGAAATGGTCTTTCGGCAATGAACCACTGGGGAAACGTCTGCCCATTACCACACAAGAAGACAGTAGAAAAAGCAAGGATACTGTCCAGCTCTCCAGAACAAACTTCAACTACTTAAACCTGGAGATCTTGTTTTCTTTTTTTTTTTTTACTATGTCCTGTTTCAATCAGAAAACACCTTGCACCTTCTCAAAAAGTGACCTAGAGTTCTGCATCCACCAGTCCTTCTTGGTGTTTCCTCATCTCCAGAGCAGATCCATGCTAGATAGAGAGATGAAGCCATGTGAGTGAAAACACAGTGTAATCACAAAACCAGAGTCAGCGTTTCCACACAAACACATGTTGGAAGCGTACTGAGGAAGCGTACAGAGATCATTTTTTTTATGTTAATTTTAGGATACCTAGTCTATGCATCTTGAATATTATCTTAACAAGGTGTTTTGAATACACTTGTTTTTAAAAATAAAGTAATAAATAGTATTTCCACTATGTGCATCATACCTACAGAAACTAGGATGTTGCCTTTAGGCCTACACACACTAGTGAAGAAATGGTCAGTAAAGAGTCATAGGACCATGAAGTCACTCAGACTGGGAAGGACCCTCAGGATGTTGTCTATTCCCGCCCCCTGCTCAAAGCAGGACTCATTCCTCCATTAGATGTGGTTGCTCAGGATATCAATGAGGTTGTCCAACTCTCTGTGTGCATTCAGGCTAGCAGCAAAGAAAGACTATGCTGGAGGCTGGCCAACAGCATACAAAGTAAAATTTGGGAGCCCTAAGATGCATTCCAGCTCAAGAGGGACTGGCTCCCTACTCCCAGTTCCACTGCAGAGCGTCACTGCAGCTCAAAGTAATGCCCAGGGACAGCACGACAGGGGTTGCCTCAGTTTTGGCCTCTGGTGCCCCCAGCCAGTGACTCTTCAGTCATCCTGTGAGGACGGTGTATGGAAAGTCTGATCGTGGGAAGGAGCTGTGCGAGGCGGAGGAGATGAAATCTCTGGAAATATTTGCTGTTAGGCTTTAGTAAACCTCTATGGGATATTTGGTAACTGTGGTTTTTTCCATGTCTTGAAACAGTCGACCAAACTTGAAGGGCTTTGTGAGGATGGCAAAAGGCACGTACCTGATTCAAAGGCAGAGAAAGCCCTGTCTTTGCTCAAAACCACGGGGGCAGATATTATTTTTTTAAAAAAGCAAAAATCTAGCCTTCTTCTTATAAATAGTTCAACCACTTTTCAATTCAAAAACTTAAAGACCTGGAGACTGGCATTGGATAAAAACAAATTTAGCCTAAATACATTCACATTGGCAGAGCTCTGGGAAATCAAAAAAAAATAATAATAAATTAAATTAAATTAAAAAAAAAAGACTATTGAAACAGGAAGCACTAGAAGACCTTCACAATGGCCAGAGCTGTCCATCCTGCCTGTAATATTGTTTGTTAAGCACTTTGGAATCCTTAGAAATGAACAAAATCATATCTCTGAAGCTGCTGGACTGCATTTCTCCGCTCCCCATTTTTCTGCTGCAGTATCTTGCTGTTAATTATTGTCATTACAAACCACAGCTGGCTGGTGAGAGCACCAGTCAAGTATGTTTTACTCTGGAACTAAACTCCGGGAAAATAAAAACTCTGAATATGCATTGCATCAGGATAAAGACAATTTTGAAGTTTGCTTCCAGAGAAAATGCTGGTGCATTTGAACTGTATTAATGTACAGGGGAGGCAGTGCCAAAGGATAGCAGCACTCCACAAATACAGCTGCAATTCCATGAAGTCAGAGCAAGCAGCTCCTTGCCCACAAGATGAGGTAAGTATGGATGTAGTGTAACAGTCTACAGAACACAAACGGATCTTGCAGTTCTATCTGGGTTGTGAGGCCCCAAAACTGGCAGTGTTAAATACATCGTACATACAGTTTTTGTATTCAGCTTGGGTTTTATTTGACAGTCCTAAATTTTGACTTTTGAAAGAGTATTCTTTCTATCATTATTATTATTAAGGGTTGTTTTTTTCTGAGCTTCCAGTATGCCATGTCACTAGCTGGTCAGGGATCGTTGGTGGACTCTCCATCCTCTCATACACAGCAAATTGTTTGCTATGGGTTTCAGAGCAAGATTTCACCTCACAGGAAATCAAGGTTAATGGGAAATAATACTCATCTCATTCAATTAAATAGTAAAGCTCACACATTTTCAGGTCCTCAGTCCACAGACATTTCCTTTTTCTGTCACAAAAATGCAGTTGGGAGGATATGTAACATAAAGTACAAAAAAAGGTGCTGTAACACAGAGTGAGACAAGGGGGCCAAAACTGTAAATTCCTTCCATTGACATGGTAATCTGTATTTGTAAAAGGCCAATATTGAGCAGGCAGTGAAAACAGAAATGCATAACCACATCACATCATTCCACTGCCAGAAACATTCATACTAATTTCCACCATCAAACACACAGTATGATTACTTAAAAGCTTTTTTAACTTATAAAAATAAAACCCTCAAGATGGTATAACTTCTCATTTTCATACTCTGTAGTGTGAATATACATCAAATTGGCAACAATCTGCACTTGTGTACAAGCCTCCTCCAGGGTCATTTACATGGAATCAATTCCTTGCAGTAAGTAAACACTTCTTTTTCTTGGGTTTTATGTTAAAAATTGAAAATTAATCTTGCAAGTCATTTTGAGCCAGCAAAACAGGATTGACAAAGCAAGTACTGTAGTATGGTATCTTTTATTAGGCCAACTTAGAGTTCAAAAGTATGCAAGCCTCCTTGACCACACACAGGTTCCTGTATGCAGAATTCCAGACTGGAGCCATAAAATGTATTAAACTACTTGCTTTGTCACTACCTATATATATATAATATATATGTGTATAATGCATATGCATACACATTTGAAATGCTTCAGAATAAACTGTTCATTGACATAGGTTTAAAATAACAACTCTGAAGGATTTCTGTGCGATGGTATGTAATCTTGCTATGTGTTACCGGGTTTAATAATTTATCAGTACACAAAACAAATCCTCCTTCTGATTTCTATTGAGGTCTAGTTCCTATGAAAAAAAGTCATAGTAATAATGTTAGCAAACATACATTGTTTGCTGTTTATAATCATAACAATGAGAACACGCAAAAGAATACATATAGACACAGTGCAGTGTTTCACATCAAGTGTTTTACAAGGAATAATGCAGAGCATCACTAACCTTGTAATAGCTATGACACTTCCGGATACTTTATGCAGGTAAGACCCAATCTAAATGGAAATCTCTTCTCCATAAGAATTCAAATGTTTCTAATGTTGTAATGTGCCCCAGCGAGATGTGTGCATTACCTGCTCAGCTCTGCTCTCCACCTCGCAAGCACATAAACACAAACCAGGCACCTCTCAGTCCACACGACAAACCTTTCTCTCCTGGAACACAAGGGCCAGTGGTGGGAGCTATATACAAAGAATGTATCAAAGAAGAGTGACAGAAGCAACCCCTCTTCTTCTTTCAAGTTCTGATGTTTCATTAGGAGTACTGTCACACCAGTAAATGGAAGCCAGTCATTGTTACAAAGACTGAAGAATTGGTGTCCCTCAAGCCATTGGGCTACCATATGTAACGGTTCATAAATATGAGTATCAATAACTGCAATAATGGTGCAATAACTGCAGTTATGGTATTCAATAATGGTGTCTCTAAAGCCCCCAGCTACTGCAGCTCTGCCAGCACAGGCTGTGGCACTGGCTTGTGCTTTAGTTGTATGTGCCTTGGGATGGGTTGGTGGGTCAGATAGCATCAAATGCGCCTCACTTTGAACAAGCCTGAAGCTGATGCTACAT